CTCCCGCCGGCCGGGCGCGCGAGGGTCCCTTTAAGAGCGGCCACCTCCCTTTAAGAGGCGGCGGGCCGGTAGCCTGAGCGACTCCGTGTTGCTGGTGGCGGTGGCGGTGGCGGCGGTGGTGGTGGCTGCGTGCGGCCCGGGAAGGGGGCGGGGGCGCTGTGCAGAGGCCCGAGAGCGGCAATGATTGGTCTCGGGGGAGGGGTGGGGGGTTGCAAACCCAAGGAACAGTGGCATCCGTTGCATGATCCAAAAAAAAAGAGGGGGGTAGATTGATTTCAAAAGTTGCGAGTTGCATTTGTAGCAACCTTGAGTGATGGGGCCACCTACTTTCCCACCACCGATCCGCGGGAAAGGACCAGTGTGTTTTTTGCACAACCTGGCCGGGTGCGACCTCTGCAACACCCACGGGACGCAGTACCTGCTCCCGGATCTCTGCTGCTTCGAGACAGTGACCGTGGGAACAATTTGCAGAGGTGTGCAGGAGCCAAGGACAAACGCCTTAGCTCCAGTGAGACATTTGAAAGATCAACTTAAACCCGCGCTTCATTCTCAGTGACTCCCATCTTTTCCTCATTCTATTGTTTAAGCGTAGCTCCGCAGTTCATGGGAGTCTCCGTGAAATGTGCAGTTGCCCTGTAAAGTTTCTTGAATATTTGATGCACATTTGGTGGGGGTTATGTTGCCCGGTTGCATCATTTGTTCTTCCCGTGTTCTAGTAAACATGGCAGACTAATCCCGTGTGCTTGAATTGACATTGGTGATGCGGTTCCACTTCACGAAGTAACTTCAGATTTCCGACTTCGTAACGCGTTGCGGATGCAAAGTGCCTTGATTCGAAGGACTTCCCTGGAAAGCTGAGCAGCGCGAACTTGGTTTGGGATACGTTCTCGTGTTCCAAGTTATTTGGGAGCAGAATCGTTGTGGGTAACCGAGCAGGACTTTTGTGGCTGCTTTAGGTTTGCACGCCACGCAGATGTCCTTTACATCCCCGAAATTGCCACTTTCTTAGGGCTGGAATCTAGGATGCCAAGTGTGGCCAGACGGACGCAGGCGCCTCCTGTCTTTGTGTCTTTTCTCCACAATGCATTTGGGAGAATACAGTAGCACCTGGGCTCGGTAGCGTTAGATTTCTGAACATCGAACATGGAGTTTTCTGTGAATGGTCAGGAGAGAGGGCGCAAACACAATCACCAGGTACTAGGACTCTGGAACCAGAGGAAAAGAATTATAAGGATACCTTTGTCCCTTTCTGCCTTTTAAATTTGAGTTTGCGTTTTGAACGGCGTGACTTTTTTTTTTTTTTTTGATCCTCAGTTTTAAAAAAAGTGATTCTATTTATTTATTTTGCAAAAGGTTTCAGGATGAAAGAGAGAAAAAGGAAAGCTTTGGGATGTGGAGGATTCGTGACACAGCAGAGGTCAGTAGAGATTTGTGCATCACTACAAGGAGTTTTAGCTCTGCGATTATGTTAAAGGATGCTCCTTCCCAGTGGAGATGAAGAAGCCATACTCTAGTTAGGGTGTTATTGTGCTAATGAAACTGTGCTAAGTCTGCACATGTATTTGAACTGAAAGTGAAGGGGAGCCACCAAAGGACAGGATTTGATGTGACTTAATGTGAACGGAAGAGAGAAGTAAGCATCAAATCTCCCAGTTTTTAATTTTGGGAACTGGATGACTCATGAATGAGTGATGCTTCTGAAACGGAAGCCACTGGGAAGCAAACAAGTCTTGGGACTAAGTGCAGCCTTCCAGGTGCTGGGTTCTATACCTGCTGAATACTCCAGGGAATGGAGAAGCCAGTTTGGCATTTGAGAGGCAAATCTCTGTGTCATCAGCAAGTAAATGATACCTTAAGCCTCAAAGAGATGTAGGATTAATGCAGAGGGAGATCTCTGGACGGAGCACAGTTGGAAATGCAAGACCTGGGTGAGCCGAAGGCTCCTCCCTGCCTGTAGGTAAGCAAGTACCTCCGGATGCAGCCCTTTCTCCTCCTGACCACGGGCTGGAGACCTTCAGCAGCTCGGAAGCAATTCTCTGCCTCTCACAGTCCTGGGGATGGAACCCAGGATCTCAGGCATGCTAGGCAAGAGTTCTACCTCTGAGCTCTACACTCTAACTCCAAAACAGTTTTCTGAATGGATCCACATTATAGCAGCACCAGACTGTGTGACTAGCTAATCCAGTGGGCCGCTGTCCCTCCCTCCTGTGCCAACAATGCCTTTCCCACATGTATTACTTCACTACCACCTTCCCTCCAAGCCTTTTTCCTGTCAACCTGTCCTTCTGAAGGCTCGCTTGAAGTCCCCAGAAGTCCATTCCAGGGAGCCACCTTCCTAATATCCCCGGATTCTACTGACTCCATCTGAAATGGAGTTCCTTTGGTTTAATAAGCTAAGATTTATGAAAAATAAGCATTTACCAGCTAACCCCCAAAAAGTTACATCTGGCACGTGCAATGAGTTGGGTTGTATCCTCCCATCCTAAAAAAGATATGTTAAGTCACACCAGACTGGCACAGTACATACGAATGTGGCCGCATTTAGAAATAGGGCTAGCCAGAGTTTAACTTCCTGGCACATGTGAGGCTCTGGGTTCCAGCTCTAGCATTGTCAAAAACAGTAGTACAAAGGAACTCTTGTAGAAATGGGGACTTTGCAAATGAAATCAAGTTAAAATCAATCAGGATAAATTCAGATGGGTCTTAAATCTAATGGCTGGTAGTGTTCTATGAAAAAAGAATCAGGATGGGGAGATGGTTCCATGGGAATGTTTGCTGTACAAGCCTGATAACCTGGGTTCGAATCCCCCAATCCATAGAAAAGTCCACTTAACACACTTAAAAGCTAGTGCAGGTGTCTGTAATACCAGCGTGCTTACACTGGTGGAGGTAGGAGGCAGCCAGCCTGGCTTTCACAGTAGCAAAGAGATCTTGTCTCAAATAAGGTAGAAAAGCAAAGGCTGGCACCAAAGTTTATCCTCTAGCCTTCTACATATGTGCATCACGCATGATACACAGGCAGTTACACAAACATACCAAAAGAAAGAAGACAGCCAGACATGTTGGTACAGACCTGTAATCCCAGCACTTGTGAAGCAGAAGCAGATCATGGGTTTGAGTTTTAGCCCAGCCTGTGCTACGAAGTGAGACCTGTCCCACCCCCCAAAAAGAAGGAAGGGTACTGGAGAGAGGTCTCTGGTCAAGAGCACTTGATGCTCTCAGAAAGGACATGAATTTCATTTCCAGCATCACAAGGTTCATTATCTCTAACTCCAGTTCCAGGGGCTCCAGTGCTCTCTTCTGCCCTCCTTGGGCACTAGGTGTAGTTGGCATTTTCTTTGGGTTGCCAATCAGCTCCCCAAAAAAGGCAGGGAAATTTATTAAGAATGAATGCTTGACTTTAGCATAGGCTTGTCCCACTAGCTCTTTCAACTCAATTTAACCTTTTTCTACTCATCTGTGTTTTGCCTTGTGACTGTTTCCTGCTTCTTCCACATCTGGATGGCCCCTGGAGTCTCCTTGTCTTCTCTTTTTTCTCTCCTGAGCCTAAATTACTCCTCCTTCCTACTTTCTCTGCCTGAAGCCCTGCTTTTACTACCTCCCAAGCTATTGACTGTTCAGCTTTTTATTAGAACAGTCAGGTGCCTTAGGCAGGCAAGGTAAAACAGCAACAACACCTCTTTACATCTTTGCATAGTTAAATATTCCACAACAACTAGGCACTGATGTGGTACATATGTAGATTTAAAGAATGGGCACACACAAGAGGCTGTATGAAGACAATGGCCACAAGGAAATAGGCCAAGGGTGGCCAGCAAACACTAGCTTCTGGAAGAGACAAGGAAGGTGTCTTCCCTAGAACAGAAGGAACAAGCTTCCCCACAGGGACAGACACAGCTCAACACTGTCACCCACCGCAACCTGAGAAATGTCCCATGCTTGGTTAGGGAATTTGACTCAGTTAAAACCAGATCCTTGACTTC